GAGGAGATTCTGATGATGAACATGTGCTACTGATGGCTTCTGATTCTGATGGAAAGTGTTCAGAAGATTAGTGGTATATGGACACTGGTTGTTCAAACCACTTGACTGGGAACAAATAATGGCTGATAAACTTTGACTCCGGGAGGAGAACAAAGATTAGACGTGCTGATGATAAGTATCTTAATACAGAAGGTACGGGAAATGTCAGAGTCAGAGTGAAGAATGGAAAAAACATTCTGATCAAGATGTTCGGTATGTTTATGGAATTAAAAGCAATCTGATGAGTGTGGGTCAACTCATTGAGAAAGGGTTCTCAGTTATTATGAAGGACAACCTCTTGACGTTATATGATTCAAATCAGAAGTTGATTATGAATTCTGAGTAGGGAAGCAACAAAACATTCAAGGTGAATGTAGAAATAGCTGAAGCAGAGTGTCTTAGTGAAGAAGGCACTGAAGGTGACAGTAAGCTGTGGCACAAGAGGTTGGGGCACTTGAACTATAGAAGCTTAGAGCATCTAAGTTCTAAGAAGCTTGTACATGGCATTTTGAAGATTGTGAAGTCTGAGAAGTCATGTGAGATATGTATGAAAGGCAAGCAACCCAGATTGCCATTTGCATCAGAAGTAGCCCCCAGAGTGAAGCATGCTTCAGAAGTAGTACATTTTGATGTGTGGACCATTTTTAGTATCTTCACTTGGAGGAAACAAATATTTTGTGTCTTTTGTGGATGAGTTTACAAGAATGACATGGGTAAAACTCATTAAGTTCAAGCATGAAGTGTTTATTGAGTTCCAGAAGTTCAAGGTGAAGGCTGAGAAGCAAAGTGGTCAAAAGTTGAAGATTCTGAGAACGGATGGTGGAGGTGAGTATAAATCTACAGAGTCCCAAAAGTTATGTGAGGAGAATGAAATAGAACATGAGGTTACTGCTCCATATACTCCTCAACACAATGGTCTTGCTGAAAGAAGAAACATAACTTTTCTTGATATGACCAGAAGTATGCTGAAAGAGAAGAAGCTACCTCACATGTTATGGGGAGAAGTTATTGCCACATCAACATATGTTCTGAATAGGTGTCCAACGAAGAAGCTGAAGGAAATTGTTCTTTTAGAAAAGTGGATTAGAGATAAGCAAAGTGTTAGTCATCTGAGGGTGTTTGGTTCTGTATGCTACAAACACGTTCCAGAAGCTAGAAGACGGAAACTGGATGATAAAAGCAAAGTAATGTTACTGGTGGGGTACCACAATACAGGTGCCTATAAGCTTTATTATCCAGAAACCAACAAAGTTGAAATCAGTAGAGACGTTATTGTGAAAGAGTCAAAAACATTGTATTGGAACAAGCCTCAACACCAGAGTTAGTTTCTGAAGATTCTTCAGAAAGTTCTGAAGACGAGTCAGAGTCAGAAGATGAATCTGATTCTGAAGACTCTGAAGATGAGTCAGAATCTCAGGGAGATTCTGATAGTGGATTTGATTCTGATCTAGATTCTGATGATGATCTAGAATCTGGTGGTGATTATATTTCTGGAAGGGAAAACTCTGAAGACATAGGGTCTGGAGAACAAGCTTCCAGAAGGAACTCTGAAGGTGGTAATTCCGAAGGAAGTAGTTTAGGACAAGGTCCATAAGCTAGCACTGTTCTAAGTTTTGGATAAGCTTCAGAACAAGTTCAGAGGCCACAGAGAATCATACAAATACCAAGTAGGTTTTCAGATTTTAGCACGTTGCATGATACTGAAGTAGATTCTGAAGGAGAGGTCGTTCAATGTGCCATGTTAGTAGATTCTGAACCAGAAGGTATTGAAGAAGCTCTTAAGAAGAAAGTATGGTTGAATGCCATGAAGGAAGAACTTAAGGCTATTGAAAGAAACAAAACTTGGAAGTTGACAAAGCTTCCAGAAAAGAAGAAAGCCATCAGCGTCAGATGGGTTTTCAAGGTGAAGCTTAAGCCGGATGGATCAATTGGCAAACACAAAGCGAGACTAGTGGCTAGAGGTTTTCTTCAGAAACCTGGGCTAGATTACTTTGAGGTGTTTGCGCCTGTATCTAGACATGAAACAATTAGACCGGTGATTGCTTTAGCTGCAAACAGAAACTGGCCTTTGATTCATCTGGATGTGAAGTCTGCATTTCTGAATGGTCCGTTACAAGAAGAGGTATATGTGTCACAACCTCCTGGATTTGTAAAAAAGAATCAGGAAGTGATGGTATACAAGTTACATAAAGCCTTGTATGGACTGAAACAAGCGCCCAAAGCTTGGAATCTGAAAATTGATTTATTTTTCAAGAGGCAGAAGTTTCAGAAATGTGAGATGGAATATGGCGTGTATGTGCAACATTCTAGTGGCAATATGATTTCGGTGTGTCTATATGTTGATGACATATTGCTAACAGGAAGTTGTCCAAAAGATATAATCAAGTTCAAAGAAGTTTTGATAAATGAATTTGAGATGACATATCTGGGAAATATGGTATATTTTCTAGGAATGGAGATTCTGTACTCAAAGAAGGGTATCATTCTACATCAGCTGAAGTATGAACTTGAACTTCTGAAGAGATTTAAGCTGCATAATTGTAAAGTTGCTGTGACACCATCAGAAACTAATCATAAATTGAATTTTGATTCTGATGGTGATTCTATGGATGCTACGACCTTTAAACAATTGGTTGGTTCTCTCAGGTACTTGTGCAATACCAGACCTGACATTTGCTATGCAGTTGGAATGGTTAGCAGATTCATGAGTAAACCAAAGTGGTCTCGTTACCAAGATGCTGTCAGGATTCTAATGTATATCAAGAAAACTCTGAAATATGGAGTGCTATTTCCTTCTGGAAGAAAGACATAACCAAAATTAGTGAGTTATTCTGATTCTGACTGGTGTGGATATAGAGTTGACATAAGAAGTACTTCTGGTTACTTGTTTAAGTTTCTGGGAGGTCCTATTTCTTGGAGTTCCAAGAAACATCCTGTTGTGGCTCTGTCAACGCGTGAAGCTGAGTACATTGCCGGCGCTGTAGCTGCATGTCAAGCTGTTTTGCTCCTGAATCTTTTGGAGGATTTGAAGATTGAGATAGAGAAACCTCTGAAGCTGTTGATTGATAACAAGTATGCAATCAATATTGCCAAGAATCTAGTGTTGCATTGAAGAAGAAAGCATATTGAGACGAAGTATCATTTTCTGAGAAGTCAAGTGCAGAAAGGAGTGTTAGAAGTTCTGCACTATAGCACCCAGAAACAACTGGCAGATGTTCTGACAAAGGCAATCAAAACAGACAAATTTCTTCATTTGAGGAATGAAATTGGTGTTGTTAGTTTATGATAGATACTAAATTAAGGGATGGTATTAAAGGGGTAATTTAGTATCTTCTATATTTGGAATATTCTCTCTTAGGGCCTATGTGGCATTCTTATCTTTACTATTTTTGTGTATAAATAGGTGTACTAGGTTTCATTAATTAATACAATCCTTTTTCAATCATTTGTAGCAGTTTTTTATCATTCATCATTTTCTCTCTTCTTCCTTAATTTCATCACCTTGTACCAACAGAATCCGAGGCATCTGACTCGATCATCCAAGGGTATTTATGTCATAGACTTTAGCATGATACATGTCTCAAACATTTTCAAAATCTAAAGGAGAAGTACTCAAGTACCCCTTGTCTAAGGGAGCTACTTGATGTATTCTCCTACCAAAAACACTCAACCAATTCAAACTTCTTTTGCCTTTGGGCTTTTCTTTTGAAAATATTTTCAGGTAAGAACATGTTAATTCCTTTCTACGACAAGTGCGTGAGTCTCCAAAGGTCGAGCGACAGTAGAATGCGAAATTAACATCATTCATAAAAACACAAACAAACAAAAACTTTTAAGCCGAACTATGACGCTCTGATTCTTTCGGGATACGTAGGCACGAGGTTTCACGACCGAGGCGAGCACCCTAATTTAAAACTTTTTTTATTGTTAACAATTCATTCATGCATTTCCTTAGCTTGTAAGCATTAGATATAACACATCCTTTGATTTGAATAACAGAGGTGAATTTCGTGGAGTACCACAGTCGTTAAGAGTGCTAATACCTCCCTCTTGTGTAATCGACTCCCTTACCCTTCTCTTGGTTGTGAGACCTTGATCTTTTCCTTTTCAGGTTTCTTCGATGTTTTCCTTTCTCTTCAGTGGGATAAATAACATTCGATGGCGACTTCATTGTTTGATTATTTTTCTTAATTGCATCACCATAATATTGCATCAGTCCCAAGCAAGAGAGATTCTTCTGGAGCTTTTAGGATAAGCTAGGGTTCCATCAAAAAATCCTAATTTATTTTTAGAATAAAGGAATACTTTAATGGATCAAGACCATGTATGATATTTCAAATAGTTTAAGAAAAGAGAAACAATGGCAATTTCAGAGGAAATTTTGATGAGTCGAGACTATTTATAAAATATCTATTATAATATATTAAATTAGAAGCGTGCATTCTAAAAATGAAAGAGAGGAAATTTTGATCATTTTAATATAGTGTCTCTAAAATAATTTTTAGATTCTTTTTATTCTATATTACTCATATCATGTCAAACAAATCAACTAGCTCATTTTTATCAAAGTGAATATAATAAAAAATAAATATATATTTTTTCTAAATAACTCTCATATTTCAACAAATACAATAACAAAAAAATCACATCAACATTTTACATTACCATTCATAACAAATTAAAATAATTCTCTTTTAAAAAAAAAAGTTAGTAAAGTCACTAGCAATTGAAACACTTTTATTTATCATTAATTAATGTTTAACAATATAGACATAAGTTAAAAAAAAATTAAAATATTTATTTGATAATAATTACAAATAAATTTAAACAACAAAATAAAAATATAAAAAAATACAAAAAGAAATGAATCATGCTATGACGATGTTGTTTTAGTTTGTTGTTGCATTCTCATTCGTGCATTATGCGTTTTCTCTTTCTCTAACGCCTTTCACAAAAACAACATGGACTCCACGCACAGAACTGATTCCCCGTTTCTCTCTCTCCATCTCTCTCTTCTTTCTCTCTCCACATCGTCCATTCGTTATCTCGTTTCTCTCCTTCTTCCACATCAACTTCCCGTTTTCTGTCACACATTCAAAACCTTTCAATCACACCATCTTTATCCATTAAGATCTCGTCACTGCCACCACGTCAATTTTTGGGTTTGCTTCGCATGAACTATATCTCTATATGGTGTTTTGTTTTATCATGTGTGTTGGATCTTGAAACTGTGTAGTTTTCTGTGTTTGTTATGTTCTGCGTATGTTTTGTTGTTTTCATTTATCGATTCTTGCACCTTACTTTGGAATGTGGTCCTTTTGTTAAGTATGGGAGAGGCTAGGGATTCGGTTTTCTTTGTTTCTTTTCTTGATTTATATACTTTGCTTTAAATGCCATGGATCATAGTAATTGATTTTCATGTCTTTTGGTGTACTAGTCTTGCAAATTATGAAATTTTGCCTTTTCAATTACTCATTCATCATCACTGGTTTCTCTTTCTGTTGGTACCTTGCACTAGCTTTATAGCTTTATGGTAGTTTCATTTGAATTCAGTGTTATATGTGTGTTTTACTGCAGAATGTCTCTCAAGATCTGTGTAGGAGTGGAGTTTGATTTGATCATTGGTATCAAGGAATAAGAGTTCATTCTTGATACTTAGTGGTAGGGATTTTTCAAATGCTAAATTTTGTTAGGTCTAGAACTCAGGCAAGGACAACCAGACCTACAACAATGGGAAGTAAGATTCTGTCCTTGATATTTCAAGTATTTTTAACTAAAGCAGTAATCAATTTCTCCACAAATTCTAACTCAACTGGCAAAGACCGATAGTTAGGTTGGACGCAAACACCTAGATAAAAAAAAGTATTAATCAATTTAAAAATGGGATTGGAAAGCTTTGCATGACCCCTTTCAATAACCATTGACTAAAGATTGTAATTTGTGTTTGAAAATGCAGTTTATTATGATTTCCTCTATTTTTAGGTATGGATTATGCAGACCCAAAAAGGAAGGGAAATTTTGTTGGAAAAGTTTTTCTTGCTGCTGCGTTAACGACAATATGTATTATCATGATCAAGCGAACTCCGTCTTTGAATTCCCCTAATCCGGTAATCCTCATATCCATTCGATACCTTTGAAATATCTTATACCATGTGTGTGCATTTGTTATGTTTGTTGCATTTGTATATTACATTGTTTACTGTACTTGGAAAATGTAGGCATAAACCCTGTTGTGTATTTGAAACATTTTTTCTTGACTAGAATAATATGTCAAATTTTATTCGATCATGTAGAATCATGCTCATAGAGGAGAAATTAGTTAGGCCTTTGAGATTTGAGAGGTCTATTTTTTAGCCTAGTTTCTGTCTTTTCTATCATTACCTATTGAAGGGTCATGTTTATTGATTATTCAGTCAAAATTTTCCTTTCTTGTTTTTGTTATTTATCCATCTATTGTAACTTTACTCTGTTATTTGCTAATTAATCTCTTTCATTTCTGCATTTTCCTCCTTTTTTCAGTTTGCCGTCCATGAACCTGGGATCATTCATGTTTTAGTAACAGGAGGAGCCGGCTTTATTGGCTCACATGCCACTCTTCGGCTTCTGAAGGATAATCATCGTGTGACCATAGTAGTATGTCTCTCTATTCATAAAACGGAATGGTTCTCTAATAAAAGCCAAATGCACCTATCAATTTGGTCGCTACAAACATGAATTTTTCTCTTTATTGCAGGACAATCTGTCACGAGGAAATTTGGGTGCCGTCAAGGTTCTTCAAGACTTATTTCCAGAACCCGGAAGGCTTCAATTTATATATGCTGACCTGGGAGACCCAATATCGGTAATTACACTCTTTTATCGCAAGAAATATTTTGTTGCAGTACTTTATTACTTTTGGTGCATATGTAGGGAAATGTCATGATAGTTTGTTTTATTAACTCATTATCAGGTTGATAAAATATTTTTGGAGAACAAATTCGATGCCGTAATGCACTTTGCTGCTGTTGCATACGTAGGGGAAAGCACTGTGGATCCTCTTAAGTAAGCACTTCTGGTTTGGTTTCTTTTCAGGCACATTAATCTCTGTTGAAGACATTGAAATTGGCACTTTCTTTTCGGTTTCTAACTTTTATGTTTGTCAGGTATTATCACAATATAACTTCAAATACCTTGTTGGTATTGGAATCTATGGCTAAACATGATGTGAAGACATTGATATATTCTAGTACATGTGCAACGTATGGGGAACCCGAAAAGATGCCTATTACAGAAGTAACACCGCAGGTGGGAAATCTAACTTTGTTGAGAATTTTTGTTTTCTCATTGCATCCTCAATTGCTTTAATGCTTGTGAAGATAAAGTTTAGTGTTAACGATGTTGTTCTATATATTAGGTTCCGATTAATCCATATGGGAAAGCCAAGAAGATGGCAGAGGATATCATTCTTGATTTTTCTAAAAATTCAGAGATGGCGATAATGATTCTCAGGTTTGTATTTTACATTTGCATTTCCCCGTGTTTTCATCTTTCCTTTGTTGCTTAAGCTATATTCAGTTTTTTCTTCTCTTTAATGTTGTGGCTATACTTTTGAATTAGATACTTCAATGTGATTGGATCGGATCCTGAAGGAAGATTGGGCGAGGCTCCAAGACCTGAATTGCGAGAGCAAGGTCGAATATCCGGTGCCTGCTTTGATGCAGCTCGTGGTATTATACCTGGCTTAAAGGTATTATGATGATATTTTCCGAGTCATTTAAAGAACTCATTAATGAAGTTCCTGAAACTGAGTATGTTGCTGTTGCATTTGCTGTTACTTTGCAGGTTAGAGGAACAGACTATAAGACAGCCGATGGAACTTGCGTACGAGATTATATAGATGTAACAGACCTGGTTGATGCTCACGTGAAAGCTCTCGAAAAAGCACAACCTGCCAAAGTTGGTATCTACAATGTTGGCACAGGAAAGGGTAGGTTAATTAAACACTTTGGAATACGAATACAATCTTTTTCGATTTTCTCAGTAGTTGTTGTCTCAAGGTTATTGTATCGGTTCTGTTTTTCAGGTAGCTCAGTGAAGGAGTTTGTTGAAGCTTGCAAAAAGGCTACAGGGGTGAACATTAAAGTAGAATACCTCCCTCGTCGACCCGGTGATTACGCCGAAGTGTATAGTAACCCAACGAAGATCAACCATGAACTGAAATGGTCTGCACAACGCACGAATCTTGAAGAGAGTTTACAAACTGCATGGAGATGGCAGAAATCTCATCGCGATGGATACGGGATTCCAAATGTATATTGAGCTATTCAGAATTCTAAAATATTTGAATATTAGAAGTAAGCAATAGCAGCAGCAGCATCATCATCTATGTTATAGCTGCATTTTTATTTGCTATATTAGATGTTATTGGTATATAGTCCATTCATTATGTGTTATTGACCATATGATATGATTCAATAATATAATGTCGAGGCTATGGTATATACCATTTCTCCAACTTTTTGTGCATGTTTTTTTCCTTGCAACTATTGCTACCTTTTGTTGTTTTTCTGCTCTCTCACATGTCTTGTTTAGAGTAATTTAATGTTGTTAAGGTACAATGGTCATGTGCATGTGCATACTCATGATAAAAGGACTTTTGAGGTGTATTACGTGTTAAACCTGTCGCTTTTGGTTTATAAATGTGGTCCTGTAATATCTCGATTACTCGTTGTTTGAGTACAAGCAAGCCACGTTGCTTTCATTATAATCAAACATCAAATCTATTATTGATATATAAACTTTAGAAATTTACTATATTTCCTCTGATTTTAAATGATTTTTTAATTTATTTTTAAGGGTAAATTAGTCTTTTTGATGTACTCCTATCACCATATTATTTTGATATTTAATGTCGCAGATGTGTCAGCACAATAGATTTTTTCATTGTTTTTAATTTTTTTATAACTATAACTAATGCTAATAATTATTTAATAATACTTATCTCTTTTATAATTAATCCTAATTATAGCGCAATAGTATCATTTGTGTACAGTTAGGGGTGTCTTGCATACGAGGAGCCATCATTGAACCATTCTTCTATTTCCAACGATGCAGTAAAGATAGCATCTTCCAAAACGACAACTCCTAACAATGGATAACTCCACCCTTACAGTTTTCGTTTGCAAGCGACTCAACCATAAATATCCAATGTATTTCTTCAATACTCCAGTATATCCTTTCCCCAATCTTCAATTGTTCTCAATATCCAAGTAGTGAACACAACACATATTACATATTTCGTTTTACCTAATTCTGTTTGTGACATAAATCCGGTCGCATTCAATCCCAAATCCCTGGCTTTTGTTTTTTTAAGATGATTCTTTCAACCCCAATTTGACAGATTAGGTTAAATTCATGTTGAAGCATCTGTAAATTTTAGAACATGGTTAAAGAGTATTTGGATGCGACTCATTCGAAGATTGGGAATTTCTGTTTAGGATTTAGGATACGGTTCTTTTATCCTGATGAGGGCAAATGATTTCATGTTGTTACAGTTTTTTCTATTGTTTCAACTTTTCATCCATCCAATTTTGTCGTGTTGTTGTTACAGGAACATCATCTCTATGGCTCGCCCAATTGAAGTTGTGAAGGATATTAATGAGTCAAAGGATTTATGGAAACTTGTTGTTAGGTGCAAGCATTTGTGGATTGTGACGAGTGCATCGAAAAAGGAACACATCAAGATGATTTTGGTTGATTCTGAGGTATTTTGTCAGTCTGGCCGTTATGAATTTGTATTTGCAATATTGGTGTCGATAAAACTAACTTTGTATGTTCGTTTATTGTAGTTAGATACGATTCAAGTCATTGTGCCACCCTTCTTGGTTTTAAAATTCAAGGAGTAACTCGCGGCTGGATGTTCATATATAATGCAGAATTTCAAAGTGTCAAACAATGATTTCTCTTTTAAGTCGACTAATCGTAGTTTCAAGTTGGTGTTATGTGGCTCAACTTCTGTTAAGAAGGCCGAACTTCCTGATATTCCTATGAATTACCTGAACATTCTTCATTTGGATGCCATTGTTGAAGGAAAATTCCAGTCTAATATTTTGGTTGGTATGTTATGAGTGGATTTTAGTTTAATTCATAGAATATTTATTTTCCCACGTCTATAAATCTATATAGTATATAACACATGAATTATTATAGATATTCTTGGAGGAGTGACCGAGATTTCTCAAACTCAAATCAATGCTGATAACAAGAAGAGCAAGGTTGTGTTTTCAATTACTGATAATAGGTATGCTTCATGTTATTTTTTGTATAATATTATTATATTAAGTTAACCAACATCATCATATTAATAATGTTAATATGGTTGACAAAGCAGCAGATCTGAAGTACAATATACTCTTTGGGATCAACTTGCCATACAATTTCACGATTATTATAAAAGTCATAAGGAAGATGGAAGTATAGTTGTTTTGTTTATTAATTCCAGGATTAAGGAGGCTAAAGGTTTGACACATACAAATTTTGAGTTTTTTGTCCAAATGCGAATCCAAAATGATGTAACATGAAATTTAATCCTTGCTTCAATACATCTGTATGTTCTAAAGAATGACAGAAACTTGTAGGAGGGTGTCCTTTGAACACCTCCAACGCTTGGAATGGCACAAAGTTGTTAATTAATGATGTTACCCTTGAGGACATTATCAAGCTCAGAGACAGGTGATGATTGATATCATTTTATTTATCGCGTTGTATCATATATTTTTGTTAACGCATTACGCGTCAAACGGGTTATGAACATTTGTCTTATATTTCATGCAGTCTGCAGTCTGAATTGCCATTATTGTCTTCATCAAGTCTTCAAGTGGGCACAACACAAAACTCATACTATTCTGATTTCGATAAGTTTGTTTGGAAGGTAGAAATTCTAAGTCTTACGGAAATAACAACTCTACAACACGTAATACATGTTTCATTGTATAATTACATTGGGATTATACATCATATCAAACTAACTACGGGTTTCATCGTTTTACCATGAGACTACATGTGTTACTGTTGCGACTTTGGACAAATTTGTGGTTGGACAGTCAGGCTGGTATTGTGATGGATGTGTTGGTTGCACAAAAAGTGTGTCACTGCAGGATAGAAAACTGGTATGTTATTCCAAACACATTAGTCCAGTGCCTGTACCAAGGTATTGTCTGTATCGATATTTACGATTCATGTTGTTTAATTTTTGGTGGCATTACAATCATGGTTTATGATTATCTTATAGATATAAACTTGAAGTCTTGGTTGTTGACGGTAAATACAAGACCAGATTCATTTTTTGGGAAGGAGATTGCGTCAAGTTGATTGAGATGTCTGCTCTTCAAATTAAAAATGAATTGAAAGAGGTATATAATGACACCTTATTAAGTTTGATTCTTTTTTAAAAACTGTGTAATATAGTTCATTATGCTGATGTATGCCGGTGAAGATGATCCTCTTGAATTCCCTTGTGCACTTGATGCAATTCTAAAGCAGGAATTGACTATTAGGGCAGTTTTTCAGCCTAACAAAGGCAAACTTTCCGTCATTAGTTACAAAATTGATGAAGATTTCCGCAAGAGAGTTAGAGGAAGTTTCAGCTCGGAAGAGGTAATCTCAGTGTAAACACAAAAATATCATGGCTGATCACTACTTATTTATTTGGACTGATATGATTTTGTATTTAGCAGCCTATTTTAAAGCTTCTACCAACTGAGCCTTCATCCCAAGATGAATCAATATCCTTTACTGTAAGTTATTAATTCAAATTTGAGCCCTCTATATAAAACAGATATCTACATATATTGTCTAATGCTGATATATTATATCCACATTGCCATCAGGAACCTTTATATGCTGGTGCCGATAATGACCCTGCTGTTAGAAATTCAACCCTGACTCGACCAACAAGAACTTTACCTGATGTTGTTGAAGATATTGAGAGTGTCCAATTTTCTGCAACCAAGTTAATTAAGGATATAAAGAAGGAGAAGTAGTTATATTCACATTTATGTTATTTAAGTTATTGTTAGTTTTGAAGAAACCAATCCGATTGTTTGTAGTTTTTTGCCTTGAATACTTTGGATCTGTTTCAAAAGTTTTCAGTTTGATCTCTTTAATATCCTTGAATGAGGATTTTCTAACTCCATCTTATATTTTGGTTAATTGGTTTGAATGTGATACCGCAATGTGCACCGAGTATATATGAGTCTATTACTGTCACATAATTTTAGTTGTATGTTTCCCGAACCAATGCAAAACCTGTTTTAAATATACTCAATTACCGATGTTTTTCATCAACTTCAATATATGTGAATTCATTGTTTATATCATGTTGTTAATGGTGTCAGCAAACATTTAGTTTCTACATTGTTTAAACTAAATGTATTATTCTATTTTTCATATACACTATGTCTATGTGGTTTCAGTAATATCTTGATATGTCAGGATCAATAAAATTTTCATTTTTTCGTTTATTACAAGTCTAAAACCTTTAAATCTTATACTTCACTACAAAACCTTTAAAATGAATAGTCATTTATTTGACTTCATGCAATTCGATGAAGAAGCAGGTACATACAATAATTTGCCTCCAAATATAATATGTTTCTATATCTTCCACAATATTCCGTTAATGTAATTGTTACATATTTAGATGTCTTATGTGGTATATGGTAAGAAGATGATTAAACTATATGAAGCAAGAAATTGTTGGAAACATATTTCGTTTATAATATTAACTACAAGAACACCAAACTTGTGAAATACATTTTGCAAAAGCACTGATACACTATGATACTTAGTTGACTTATCCACTTAGATGCTAAGAGCAAATTAAAGTAACACATTACATAAACGGTGCATCCCTAATAGCAAAGTGTTAACAAAATGAAATAACAAAGTTAAACATAAACATGATATCATTCCCATAACTAAACATAGAACATAACATTGTTCCCAACTTGGTACAAAACTCCTATTTTTTTCCAGCCAAAACATACATAATATCCACTTCACTCTTTTATCTGAATTTCACCTTTTCGGTACAACCTCACAAACAGGATTTCCTTATTTGAATTGTAGGTGCATGCAAGAGTATCTCCCACCTTTAGTTTTTTCCCCTTAGCATATGAATACCACCCTTTTCCCAAGTACATTTCCACATATTTCCTGTTGGATATTTCTTTAGGTTAAATATTTTCTTCTAGTTTATTTAAGTTAAAACAAACAAAACCTTTCTTAACAAAAATCCAAACAAATTCATACTCTTTCCC